AACTTTTATTATTTATAAATACTTTCAGAACAGAAATCCAAAATTTGAAATCCGTTAAGGATTTAGCTAAATTAGCAATGGTAAAATATTATGACATGACAAGCAGTTATTCAAGGAGTGTGCAATTCACTTATATTGTGTTTATCATTAATACCTGTGTAACCACAGCCACAAGTGAGAGGTCATTTTCAATACTGAAACTAATCAAAAACATATTTAAGAAACATAATAAGAAATATGACACAAGATCGGTTGTCAAACCTGTCACTATTGAGCGCTGAAGCCGAGATGGCTGAGAAAATGGACGTCCAAGTATTGATAAATAATTTTGCTGAAATGAAGGTTAGGAGACGCAAATTTTTTTCTTTATGATGAATTTTGGCCACCAATGTTATCATTACACTTATTAAGGGAGAGAAAAAATTAGAGAAGAAAAGCAGTACGGACTGAGGAATATTAAAAGGAAACAGTAAAAAACTTTAGCATTCATATTTTTTATAAAAATCATGCATTCAAGTAGTTTAGTGTATCAAAAGGTTTTTTTAAAAAAACAGAAAAAAACTTTACCATACATATTTTCTACAAAAATTGTATGTTCAAATAGTTTTCTTTATTAAGTTTATAATAAATATGTTTTATATTTAACAAATGTATCATTTACATTATAAAAGTTCTTATTTATTACTTTGCATAAATCATAATTGTAAGCTGATTAAATCACAGAGTACTATACATTAATGTAGATTAAGGGCGGTGCCTCTGCATTGCTTGCCATTTTGAAAGCTATACCATATTTCATTGCATTAGTGCATAAAATGCATGTTTTTTTTTTCATATTTAGTATTGCCAACTTGTATTTGGTGCATTTCCCTTTGAGAAGTATGCAAAAATATTGTCATAGTTCTTGGTCATGAGTGCTTTGATATCGACGCTTGCAGCATAAAGCTTTTTGTTGTGGATGCTGTCCATCAGGCGTGGTGATTTTTAATCGGAACTTTTTTTCATTTTGACAGCTTCCAGTTATGCTTTTTATAAGAGCATCCGTGGCTTCATCAAGAGGGCCTGGAGTTTGACTGATCGCAATCTCTAAAGCGAGACTGCCTTCAGGGCCAGTTCTGCCTGCTCATGTATTTTCTAAGATTGCCGTCCGAAATTTAAAAAAAAAAAAAAAAAAAAAAAAAAAAAGGCTCAATGCTTAAAAAAATTTTTATTTTATACTCACTAAGTACTCATATATGATAAATTCTATAGACAGAACCTACATATGACAAATACTTACAATGAATTTAAAATATTTAGGCATGGTATCGTGAGAGTCCGGCCGCTCGCCTATTTTACGTGCTGCACCTGACTGTCTTCTTGTTTAAGGTGTTAGTAAAATTCTGACTGATCGCCGTACTTACTCTTAAATCAGCATTTAAGTTTAATTGTGCTATGACTAGTCGTGACAGTGATGTATTTGAAGTCATTTATTGAATTTGTATTATGGACTTAGCAGCTGCTCCCATCTAGTCTCTAGAAGTGCACATATCTGATTAGGATATGCTCTCATGTTAAATTCCATAAAATGGTTTTTGGCTGAAACTCCATTACTTGTGTGTTTAATAACAGTATCAGACGTAAAACTACTACTTGTAAAGGTTCCAGCAATCTTAAACATGCCTCAATTTAAAACAATCAGTGACTTACATCTTTCTTTGGTATGATAAATTTCTGTTGGCATTTCTTTCCTAATACTGATCGCCTGATTTCTTCCCAATGACATACTGAAAAGTGCTAAAAATAACAAATGTTTCATTGAATGGAATGACATTGCCTTAGCTTCATTTGATAATGTAAAACTAACCTTGCCAATTCTCCTACTAAGCCTAATCTTTCCATTTCTATTAATTAATCTGCACCGCTCTCGACGCTGTTCCCTAATGATACGCTTACAATGTTATCCGACCAATTGCAATTTTTTGTTCAAATTATCTCCTTCGGAGTAGAATTACATAACACAGCAGAAGTCCAGAAATCCGCAAAGCTTGGGACTACATTTGCCATTGCAATTTTGAGAAATTCAAATAAAGCAAACAGAAGATTGTTTAACATAGAAGTTTTATTTGTATGTATGAATATTAGAATGGGGATTTTGTCAGTGATAATTTAACGTGGATATATTATATTGGTCTTAGCCGTTAGATATAGTACATGTCTATAAATAATATTGTAGGAAAACTAATAATTTTTAAAAGGATGAGGTACAGTAGAAGTCCAGAAATCCGCAAAGCTTGGGATCAAAGGTTGTGCGGATTTTAGGATAGAAAAGATAAATCATAATATTCAGACTAAAAGTGCAAAATAAATAAGGCGTATTAGATATATTTAATTAAATTATATACATTATTGCAATAACTTATTATATGCATTAAATTATTATTACATATATAAATTGATTATATTATTCATTGTATTATATATACACAGCATCGAGGTTTGAAGATTTCGCCTCATGCAAAGATTTCTGGTTTTGGATTCCGATGTTAGAATCACTGTAAAATTTCAACAGCTTTTCTTTATTTTTTCCATATATCATACACAATCGTATCGCAATTTCATACGATTCTGCTGTAAACCAAGGAGCAGCACCTGTCTCCATATTTTGCACTTTGTGTATTACCGTCAATGCAACGTGTTTACGTTTATCAACATTGCAAGCAGTAAAATCATGAGTGCGTTCCTTATCTGTGATTGTATTAAAAGCGACTGAAATTAAAATGTTCTTAATTTATCCACAAAATATCTGGATTAAAAAAAAGGCAGCACTAAATAATCTTGTGAAAAAACAAAGCTCTGAAAATACAACAACCTGAATGGTGAACTTGAAAGAAGAGTTGAGTGAATCGTCTGCTTTCTTACCTCGATGCAGATTACAGAAGAAAAAACTTTTATCATGATGTCAATAATTTGGTATTTCCGTTATGACTCATTATTATTCAGTAAGTATTTTTTCTTCGATATTTCGTACTCAATGCTGCGGTTTCCGGAACCTATAAACAGAATGTTTATATTTTGAGAGGCAATGCGGATTTTCAGTATTTGACTGTACTTACAATAAGAAACTACTAGCTACATAGGGTCAGTTGACCATTTCCGCCATATGGTTGAAGAATAAATCCATTTTCAAGGATCATTACTTTATAATTTTCTCCTTTCACAAAAAGTCAGAGTCCTATACTCCATGATAGTTAAACTACCTAGGTTTTACAGCACATCTCTGAATTGGACACACTACCACGCACTGACGAATTGTAGAACAGAAAAACTTTTCCTTCTTCAAATTAATGGAAAGGAGAACACAATACAAATCATGCTTTTGTCGAACGTGATTAAAAAAAAAAAAGGACGGTGACTCTACCCCCCGGAAAAAAAAAAAAAAAAAATGTCACATGTAATTTTTGCCAACATTTTCCCTGTAACAACTATGAAATTCAACACAAAGTATCTCCAAAGATAAGGATAGTGTGTTGTAATAATTGCTAAATATATATAAACTTTCTATCTACCAAATGGCGCCACAAGAAGCTAAAGCATTTATTAATGCAATCATGAGTATAAATAGTTCAGCCATGTTAAGTTTTTACATGGCTGAACAGCACTGTGATACAACAGTACTCCGGTATATTAATTTCTGAAAGTTAAGCCGTATGTGACTCAATAACTTTGTTATATAATTAGTATTAATTCTTTAGTTTTTAGGTAGCGATGATTCGTTACTGACAACAGTGGTATTTGATCGGCTAAAAGGATCATGGCACTGCGCTTTGGGACAGGCAGGGTGCTTTGTTAATGTTTATAATAAGGTACAATTAACTCAGCTTCCTACGGTGAGATCTAGAGAAAATTTAAAATCCAACGATGCAGAACAAATAGCGTGGATTGCCATCAGCTGTGTTTTGCTGCTTCATGACAATGCTAGGCCATATATTGCAGCTCATTTTAAGCCCTGATCAATTCTTTTAGCTAAGAAATATTTGATACGTCATACAATGCTGACCTTGCACCTAGCCACTATTACTTCCTTTCTCATCTGAAGGGACTTTGGTAGGCAAGCATTTATATACTCAGGCTTGTAAATATATATATATTTAACTTGAATAACTAGCTGGCTTACATCACAGGCAACAGTTTTACGAAGAGTGTGTACAAAAACGAGTCACAATATATGCATAAGCGACAAAAAAAATAATTATTAAAATATGGAGATTTGTTTAAAAATTCAAATAATATATTTTTTTTTAAAAAATTTTTACTCGCTTTATTTTTATTGAGACAAAGAATGACCAAACACAAGACATCGTATTTGGGCTATCCATAACTGAGGATCTATCAACAGACTGAAGTTTTTCAAGGTCTGGTTTGGTTGATTATTGCAAACAATGTGCATAAAGAAAGGGATGGCTTCATGGATGTCTTTCTACAAAAACTGGTTCACATCTGTTATGTATGTGGAAAACCTTGAAAATGCTCCAACAGCCAAGCTGTTTACCAGGATTCAAACTCAGGTCTAAATATCATCATTCAGTGATGTTACTGCTCGGCCAATGGCAAGGCTTGAAACTTTTCTATGCAGTTCCAAATGGTTTATGTCTTCTGGAGAAGTGGTCACCTTACAGAAGATAATTATCACAATGTTCAATACCAATAATTATTTTTTAAAAAAATACTAGTCATTTTAACAGATGAGAGATGATCTGTGTTGAGGAACTGATGACTGAATTAAAGTCAAAAGACTTACAGTCATGAGTTCCAATTTAACTATATGGAATGGAAAATCAATATGTATGTAGCACAAATAAGTGTATTTTACAGTTAGTTTCCCCCCTCCAATTTTTTGATTCAATACATAAAATGCATGATTACATAACTCAGTTTTGTTATGTTGAGAAAAATATTCTTACACACTTGCATGTTTTGCTTGAGTTATATGTACAATTAAAAATTTAATTATTTTTTAGATTCCAAATGCTATTGGGACCATGCTATCTGGATTTCAACTTAGTCTCTTTGCTATACTCCCAGAAAAATCATCTAAAACTGGAACAATTCAATAATCATCCTAACACATGATAAATATTTGTATTTAAGAATTTTATTTTATTAAAAATAAAAAAAATGTTTATATATAAGTACATGACATCTTTCAAGTATTCATTTCCTTTTTTTATTAAATGCAAAGTACATAGAAATTGGAACTTTTACATGATTCAAAAACACTCACTTCATATTATAATATACAATTTTGTATGACACAACAAAATTATCTTACTGTACAAGACATCAAAAAGTAAATATTGTGCACTTTCATGTTTTTTTTTTTAAATGACAACTGATATTAAAATTTTTAATCATAACCAATTTGTTTTCCAAATGATATCACAGCTAAGCATTTGGAAAAGCAATCAAATATAAGGAAACTATAATTTGGAATGAATAAACCTATAAATATGACCTGTAAAAAGTTAATCTACACTTTCTGTAAAAACTTCCAGTACTCGAAAATGCACATCCAATGAACGAGGTTCCTTTTCAAAATGAAGTTTCCGCCTAACATTTGCCCCCATTCTTTGCAGAGTTTCTCTAAAAAATTTTTCTTCTTTTGCAACTCTAGGCTTACTATCACAAAGAACTTGATAAGGTGTAACATGGATATGAATATTAATTTTTAAATTACAAAAATTTTTCAGAACTGATTTATCTGTAACCCATGTGCTTGATGGCCCAGAGTGCCCACCTTCAAGCCAATATATATTTTTTATTTTCTTTATAAATGGCATTAGAGATTGATCAGATTCATTAATTACTGCTGAAAATGAATATAAAATCTGATTCAAAACAATACACCCTTTACTAAAACCAATTAAGTCTATAGGTCCATCAAAAAACTTCTGTTTCATAGCCATAGAATTAAAATCACATTCAGTTCTAAAACTTTGCTGGACTGCTAATTCAATGTTTTTCAAAAGCATTTCTAAATGCTTAAGAGTATCAATGTTTAGTGCATAAGTAGGTGCACCAAAATTATTTACCTCTGCAAAATTTTCATAACAACTGAAAGTATTTAGAGCCATTTTAGATGGTCTTACAATAATCACTGCATGAGTTGGAAAGTGATTATGTAATAAAACTGCAGTACTCTCAAGATCCCATTTCGAATGATGCTTGTTGTCTCGGTGGGCTAGCATATTTTCCTTATAATCCTAACAAAAAAAGAAATTAGATATAAAAATTTGAAAAAATAGTTAAAACTCAGCAGATCAGAAATGTGATCCATTTTTGTACTTTTAACTTAAGACATATAAAAGTACGACTCATTTAGAATACAATACAGATGATATTAAAAGAAAGTATTAAGAAAGGAAAAATTTTAAATTCCTGCTAACATTAAATGCTAATAAATAATTACAAACCAAATTTTAAAATACATACTTGTACACATTTATATTTAATAATAATGCATTATTCATTTCTGGAAAACGTAACACAGTTCTCTCCATGACATTATAATATTAATAAGTATTGCATTCACCATTTAATCTTATACAGGTATCATAAAAACACCAAAATTGTACTAAGATAAGTAGGAATGTAATGCCAAAGGATGGATGTATTTACGGAAGTGTGGCCACTATTTGTATTACACATGGAGAAACCTCCCATGAATTTCTGATATACCACGAGGATATTTAGCAGTTTTATCCATATTATATGATGGAAAAAGAAAACAAATTTCATTTTTGAAATTAATACTTTTACAGCTCATTAATTTTGCAAATTTTGATTTAAAACTACTTTTTTTTTGTGTATGTGTTTGCTATTTGTAGATATACATCATGTATTTTTATAATTGATAGCATCTGAGAATATATATTTTCTGTAACTAAAACCAAATTTTTTTATGTGTATTAACTTTTATATCAATTAATTAGAATTTTACAAGAATAAAGATAAATATAATTTCTACTGATGTTCTTTCAGAAATTCTTGGGTAGTCGTTAAAATATTTGGTTTATTTTAATTGGGTACTCCTTAAAAGTTACTACTTCACATTATGATAGTAGACAAATTATTATTCTTAATTAATAATTCTAGAGTAAACATAAAAACTTTAATAAAGAAAGCAGGAAAATGTGTGTATGTGAATGTGATATGTGTGAATGTGATATAAACATTAGTATGATTTTTTTATACATATAAACAGATATAAACTAAAAATTTTTGTCCCTTTAAAATTAAAATGCTGTCATATATTTGATATATTTTGGGGAGTGAGAGGAGGAGAGAGCTTAAAACACTATAATAGAATTTTAAAATATTGCTATAAAAATAAAATGTTAAAATTGAAATTATGCACCAAAAAGAAATAAATAATAATTTCCTTCAGAAAATATAACAAAAAATAACTGAATTAGGTAATTCAAAGCATTAAACATGTGATCAGGAAAATAAAATTATTCAAACACATATGTTTACTATTTCAGTGCAAAATTTAAGTGTTTGTAACATTAAGCCTTCCGAATGTATACTGTTTTTACTTACATATTTCCCCCCCAGCTTTTTTAACATATAATTTAAAAACTTCTGATGCAACAATAATAAAATGTATGCAGAAATAGGAAATTATTTTGTGTAAATAAAGAATACTGTTGAAATTGATATGTCCTTTGAAAAACATAATATATAAAATTAGCGAGTCTTTATATTATGCACTTTTTAATGTGCTATGCTTATCATTTAAGGCATCTCCTTGGAAATAATATACACCACATATTCCTTCCCTCCCATTATTCCAAGTGGTAAAATTAACAGGAAAAGGTAGACAATACATAAGAATACAGGGTGTTCATTAAAAAAAAAAAAAAAAAAAACCACCCAATACACGAACCCTTAGAGGCTAGTCCGCTCAACATGTATTTGTTGATCGCTTTTTGAAGGTATGCGTCTGAGATTATGATGATTTAAAACTATAGAGCTCTAATAATTACAGTTACAGAAGAAACATTTTCGAACTATAATACCTAGATTTTCCTGTGCGAAGCAATCAGTGCATTGAAAAACCATAAACGATGTAGGAACGATACACCTACGATGAAAATTGATGGAATAAACCATTCACAAAGAACGGCATTAAAAAGAACCAATGACAAATCAAAAAGAGGAAAAGGTAAAAATCTTATATGAAATAAGTTTTCAATGTGCCCACCTTCACAGATGAAAATGCACTGCATGCGGGAGATTGTAGACAACAATGATGAACATGTAATCGCAGAAGGAATCTGTATAACTTCATATTATATGGCATCTTTCAATTCTGACAGATCTCGTGTATTTGATATGTATACTTTAGATTTCAGATAACACCAGAACCGGAAATCCATCAGGGTGAGCTTGTGAGATCTTGGTCGCTACAAAACTGCAAAGTTACAGAAAATGACTCTATCTCTAAAGTGGTGTTGCTGTACTTGCCAAACACATGTGACGATGTGTGAAGGAGCATGATCTTGCATCCATACAATGACATTTTCCTGCTACAGTTATGTAGTTCAGCATTATTGCTGTATATCAAGCGCTTATCAAGTTTTCATCCCTGTGGAAGTGACCTCTTCAAAGAAATACAGACTGAGAACGAATGTGCTGGCAATGCTGCAATATTATCAAGATTTTCGTCAGCCCAATCTCTGGAGTTTAAGTTACCAGTTAAGGAGAAATGTGCTTCATCCATCCATAATATATGCAGTGGCCACCTGCTATCTTCATATCTGATGAGGGAAAAAATTCACAAAATTGACACAATGAAATCAATATAGAAACATCTGCACAACAGAAGCTTGGTTTTCTGTATACCCAACTCTGTTTTTTACACATTAGATAGAGTCCTCAGAAAAGATGGAAAAAATTGCGTTAAAAAAGTATATGCAATATATGGTAAATCTCGGGATATGTTCCACAACTTTAAAAAATTGTGTAAAATGAAAAAAAAAAAAAAAAAAAAAAAACTAAATATTAAAAGTGCAAAAAAGTAGTAATGAAATCCATATTACATATTTATAAAACAAAAACAATTCATTTTTATTACCAAAAAAATATAAATTAGTGTACATTGAAAATTCAGTCCATAATCACATATAAAAATTTAAATTGAAATTAGGAATAAAAATCAATTTCACAACTATTCATAGCTACTTCATAGTAAGACTGCAAGTTTATACGAACTGGATCAAAAATAATATCGTCAGTAGATATGTCAGATACAACTAGCACAACTCTCGGGCTTGATTGAAATGAAGAATTTTGTTCGTTATTAACAACCTCTGTTGGTTTATTTTGTTGTTACAAAATCTGTTATTAGCACCTTTTTTTTTTTTGGAGGGGGTTTCAAGTTGCTTATGTAATTCTTGATGTCCAGCTACACAAATATACTGAGCTATACCAAGAAGGGTCGAGTTCTCGTCGCCAAATCACCGAGTGTATAGGAAATTGAGGCAAATACGATATGAAACCAAAGAATTCATTCTTTGACAAAGTTTTCATGATACTGAATTTTACTTAATAAGTGATGAGCAATTTGGCAAAGTTTTACTTTCAACTGGCTGTTGATCAATCCTTATTGCAGGATCAATGATTTAATTTATATCATTTGGATGGGGTGAAATAGTGTCAGAAGTTTGAACTCAATAAACAGGACATTTGACCTTCGTCACCTGCTTGGCAGCTATTTCATTCACGCGCATAAGGTAGGATAGATGCCTCTCTTCGGTGTTAGAGGCCACTACTGCTTTGGCAAAGCTTTTGTTAACATTACAAATTCTTTGATGAAGTAAGCCAAGTACTAATATGAGGGCAATCGCCCAAAAAAGGTCTCCTATTTTTTGGGGATGTAGAGAAAGTTTTAATACAGTTGTTGGCAACACTGTTCTGAGTGGTGCCTTCTTCGCTACCACATAAGCACACAGGCGCTTCGCTCGGATGCTCAGTCTTGGCTTGGCAGCCATTTGAAATGGAGCTCTCGACAAACGTTACCGCCAAGTGCCGAATGCGCGCCAGTTATTGATTTGGTGCAAAGGCGTTAAACAGTTTGAAATTCACCGCCTATTGACGGAAGTGTATGGCATTATTTGACATCCCGGCAGACTATTAGTCGGCATGGATTTAAAACGTTCGCAAGTGGCGTAGATTTTACAGCCGGTCGTACTGAATTCATGACGAAGAAAATGAAAGAAAGAAGAGGAGGGGGCCGTCAACTGCCAACGGACCATTGCGAAAGTTGAGGAACTCATGCGTAAAATTTGGAGGATCACTCTGGATGCTCTCTGCATTTGGTTCCTGAGATTTCCAGAAGCACCATCCACAGGATTTTAACGGAAAAGTTGCAATATCGGAAGGTGTGGCAAGATGGATGCCGCGTATGCTGACAGAAGAAGCCACAAACGGCAACGGCACCCAGCGATTTCCACCTGTTCCCCAATTGAAGGAACATTTTTTCTGGACGACGGTCCCGATGATGAGGTGAAGATGTGGGTTCAACGCTCCTGAAGGGCATGGCGCAGCAAGTGGTATGACATGGGCATTGTAAAATGCCACAGCGTCTACAAAAATGCATCGACGAAAATGGCGATTATGTTGAAAAATAAAGCATTCTGCGATCTTTAAAGTGATGTAGCAATTATAGAAAATAAACGGTTCTTTGTATATCTAAAAATCTAGGAGACCTTTTTTTGGGATTGCCCTCGTATTCTACTGGTTTGCAACTGAGCAATAAAATGTTCATCTGTACTACCAGCTGTTGTGCATCTGACATCTAAGCGCCCACCACTCTTTGCAAATGCAACTTTCATCATGATAACGCCGCCAGGCTTGTTAGATTATTAATCAGTTAGTAAAATTATTAGAATTTGGTGGGAAAAAGTTACTTTATCCAGTTATTTCTCTTCACTGTCGCTTTCATCACGTGACTTATGTATACCTTTTGTAAACAAACAACGCAGATGACCTCAGAGATCACGTGACTTATGTACAGCTAATGTAAACAAGCAAGGTAATTCTTCATCTTCTTCTCTTGTGGAATGTATCTCATTGTTAATCACTTGAAGATACACATGCACACACAGTACTTTTTCATTAGGTACACACACACACAGAGTACTTTTTCCTGTTATGCACTCACAACCTTAACTGCCTGGCAGGTGAATAACGGAAAAGTACCTCTAATTCTAATATTTCATAGAATTTTCATAGAACCTGCCATGCACTTAACCAAATCAATTGCTTTTTGCACGTAATTTTTTGCAGAGGCAACGGCAAAATTGAGAAACATGTTTCAAAATGAAGAATGTGCATATTCAGCATATGAAACTGAAATTTTGCTTTCCACCAAAAATAATGGGAATAAAAACTCTACAATTATAACAAATTTGTGATTTTTTTCACAAAAAAATTATGAAACTGCCTTCAAAAAAGATTTTATATTTACGTAGTCCTACTGTAGGCTTTCATGACTCTCATGTGCAACAGAATGATCACAACTGTACACAGAACAGAACATATGATTTTCTAAAAATGTTAAGTAACTGAACATGGCAAATTTTCATCATACTACTTTTGAAGAATATTTTATCACTTAAACTGTCATGATAAATACATTTAGCACCAGATTTTAGTAAGAAGACATTCAGAATCATATATTTGCATTCACGACTTCAAGCAATAAACTAAAACCAGACATAACTCAGATACACACATCATCAATACAATAATTTCAGATACTGATTGTGGAGCACTACAGTTAGTATGATATATTGATTATGAAATTATCAAAATTGTACATTTTTGTTTGCTCTCATAGTAATTAAATTAAAAATTTCTTATTTTTGTCAATTTCTAACAATCAGTTACAATTATGGAAATGCATCACAGCTAGTATTTCTACATTATGTCATCAGGGTTGGGTTTCTTCTGGAAGAAACTGGAAAAAACAGATCAATGATGCATCCATAAGGCTGCTAAACTGGATACATTTACTAGCAGCAGTTTAACTTATTTGGAAATAAATGTTTTATTATTTCTAGAATAAAATGCAAAAGAATTAAACTTCCCTTACAAAACTGAAACAAAAGCATAGAACGAGCACATGAAATTCATATCTTAACAATGCTAGAAATGCACAGAACTGTCACAATCTTGTTTTGTGTTCAATGGCTGATGTGCAGGGAAAATTTGAATCATTATACTTCTCAACACTATTGCCACATGAATAGTGGTAAATAGATGATTTTTCTTTTTTTTAAATGGGTAATCAAATGAAACACATATAATTTTAATTGCGAAAGCAACTTTAGGAATAGGAGAAGGCTGGGCAAAATACGTAATAAATTGGCTTGGTTGGAGTGCAGTTAAAAATTAGAAGAAATGGTATATCTGACAAAAGAATACATTTTCTCATGTTAAAATGTATTGCTACCCATTAAAATTGTAGCATCAACATGGACAAAATACTCTGTATCTTTACATATTTTTTATAATATAAAAATGAAACCATTAAAATTTCAGACATGTTGGAAAACAGATTGTATTATTAGTACTGAACTATGCCATCAGCAACAATATCTGCCGTTATAAACTGATACATAGAAAATCATCCAGATGGCATTTTGAGATATAGCATTTCAGCAGGTTTAAATTTATTTCCACAGTTCATCTGCTGTCAGCCTTTGCTGTGCCCGAGTGGTCCGATTTTCAGCCAAATGGGCAACAATTCTGCTGTATGATAACCCATAGTCACGGCATGCTACTATTTTACAGTGATTAAATTCATTCACATGCTGCTGCATATTCTGTTACCTTATTCAAGGTACACACTATAATATTCAAAGAAGAAACATGATTTCTATACAGAAAATATAAACTTTTATCTTGTTTCTTATAATGATCCTAGATAATGTTTCCGATGTTGCATGTCTATTATTTGCATATTGCATTTAACTTTAAAGAATATTTCTAATGAATGAGATATAAATATTTTTTCTGGTACAATTTAACTGAACAAGCACGTTTCATTAACATTAATTTGTAATTATGCAATTTTGTTTTATTTACTTATTTGTTGATTGCTTATTTCTTCTCTAAAATCATGAATTGCTTAACATTTAATTTAAGAAATTCCATTTATAAATAAAACTTATAAATGCTTGTATTTTTAAAATATGAATTTAGAAAAGACATTGAAATTTATCATGCAAGCCCCTTGTGTCTAGTTAATTATTAAAATAGAAACTGTGTCTATGTGCTACAATGTCAATCATTTTAAATTCAAACATGCTCTATCCATTATACAAATTTCATGTTAACCCGCCAGCACATGCAACGGGTATGTCATAACCATGTGCATTTTTCTCTTTGTATATTTCTCCGTATATTCCTTACGATGAAGAGATGAAAAGATTGAGAAATCTTCTTGAAACAGTTTCTTCTGATGAGGATTCATTTAGTGAAGACGATGAAGATGCTGATGACGAAGAATATAATAGTAATCATGATTCATCCATAGAGAGTAGTGATTCAGATACAGAAACAGAAAATGAAACTTTGGAATGTAGCAATGAGTTTTATGTTGGAAAAAATGGAGTAAAAATGGAACAAAAATAAATTCCGGACTAATGTTAGAATTGGCGCCAAAAATATTATAACTAAACTCCCTGGAAATATGAGTATTCTAAAGACGTCTCAACACCTTAAGATTCCTGGTCACTGCTTATCGATGAAGATATGTTAAAACATGTAGTCGACAATACAAATATTTATATTGATTCAGTACGTGGAAATTTCACTCGTGAATGGGCGGGCCAAGCACAAATGAGTTGGAAATCAAAGCTTTAATTGGATTGCTGTATTTATGTGGAGTTTATAAATCATCCCGTGTGAACGTAAGAGATTTGTGGGCAACAGACGGAACGGGAATGGACATATTTCAGGAAACAATGCCAGTGAACCGATTCCTCTTTCTTTTACGATGCCTCCGTTTTGATGACATTAGAGATGGTCCCAGTAGAAGAGAGGTTGATAAATTAGTTCCGATCAGATAATTTTTTGGAAATTTTGTCACAAACTGCCAAAAGGCTTATACTGTAGGAGAATATGTGACTATTGATGAGAAGTTGGAATCATTCAGAAGTCGTTGCTCCTTCAAACAATATATGCCCAACAAGCCAACAACCAGATGGGTCATTTCAAGTTGAAAATGGTGCAAGCGAAGTTGTCAAACGTTTAATAAGGCCCTTATACAACTCTGGTCGAAATTTAACAGTTCATAATTGGTATATGGGATATTAATTATCTCAAGATCTCCCAAAGAAGAAAATTACGATAGTAGATACAATACGTAAAAATAAGAGAGAAATACCCACCTGAGTTTCTGGCAAAAAAAAGAGAAACATATTCTTCAATTTTCGGTTTTCAGAAAGAAGCAACACTTGTATATTATGTGCCGAAAAAAAATAAGAGTGTGATCCTGTTGTCCACAATGCATTCCAACGATCAAATCGATGAATCTGCTGGGGAATTTAAAAGGCCTGAAATCATTACATTCTATAACATGACAAAAGGAGCAGTCGATGTTGTAGATTATTCTACAGCAAGAGTAGCACGTCGATGGCCTATGGTGATTTTTCTTTTCAGGTTTAAACGTGGCTGCCATTAATGCAAGAATAATTCTACTATCAAAGAAGGAACCCCAACGGAATACGTACCAGCGTTACTTTTCCTCAAAGCCTTAGGGATGCAGCTAATAGAAAGTGTTCAAAATGAACGACAACGAGCATCTGTATTCCTGATTCTAGACAAACACTGACCACATATGAACATGTTAACAATGAACCACCACACAAAAAACCTAAAATTACTTACAAGAGGTGTAAAGATGCCCCAAGAAAAAAGATTAGATAGATTCATTTGTTTGAAAATGTAGCAAAGAATATGTATGGAACATATGACCTCATTTTGTAACACTGTTAAAAAAATGTAAGTAAATATTTTACCTCTCTTATCATATTTTGTCTAAAATGAAGTATTAACTTGGTTTTACATTTAAATTTTTTTAAAAACCGATTAATTTAATTCAGCAAATTTTTAATTACAAACTTTTTATTCGGGTATGACATACCCGGCGCGTGTTCTCGTGTTCGTCGGATCGGTGCGTGTGCTCGCGGGTTAATGGCCAGTAGTTTATTTAACTCGATATATTAAATTTTATTGCATGGGATGCTCTGTCAAAACTGGGACAGAATTCAGGGATAGAGGAATTACGTTCTGTGTCTTAATTAAATAATACAATTAATCATATATGTAAGTAAGATTTAATTTATGGTTATTTAAAGCTTAATTTCAAGTTCTAGAGATACATAATGCATTTCCTTAATAATCTTTAAACAGTATTATAATAGATAATAATTTCAAGAGGGAAAAACTGATGAAACAGATTAAAATATTAAATTGGAATTAGCTTTCAGCCTTCAATGGTAAGAATGACTTGCATTTGAAAATGAAAGTTTCATCTGTACTTATAATTCTTATCAATATTTTTCTTGCTTTTTCTAAATTCTTACACTACTAAAACTCGTATTACTTGGCTCAGGATTGTTATTTTCATGCAGTTTCACTAATGAACATAAATAATTAGCATTTAATTTTGAACTCTTTAGAATTTCTTTTGAAAATAACTAATCAATGGGATATAAAAAATGAGCTAGCATTAGAAAGTGCAAGAGCTATTATATCATTAAATAACTTTACCTCCTCCCAAGGGAATAGCATATTAACCTCAGTATGTAGCCCACTAATTTCCAGAATGTTTATCAGGATATTATGTACATGAAATCTTTGACTGTTGATAGATGTTCAATGTGTCTGCTTTTATTAAATTGTGTACATAATTCTTTTAGTTTAAAATAATTTTTTTTTTCTAATTTTAAATGAAGATCTAATATTTAGACCATTTAATTGTATATATGACTAGTCTTCTAACAGACAAGCTCTTTATCCTTATAAAATGCATTACAAAAGTGCAATGTTAACATAACAACTGCAGATCAGTAACAGGAAGTTTGTTAATTAAAAATTTAGAAATTACAGATAATTATTTATTATTAAGATTTTTTACTATGTTTATAAAATCCTGATCAATATCAATTATTTTAAAATTTTATGCAATAAAGGCAAAACAATTTTTAGAATAATCCCCTTTCTTTTTAATATCAGGCGCCCTAGAAACTGTTTCAGAAAATTAAGCAATACCCACCCTAAGGGCATAGTTTTGGTGTTACTACAGGGAGGGGAGGAGAATTCATTTCTCTCTAGACTTTACAATTTATGGAATCACATTAATTACTTTCTATGAAATACAGCATTAACTTGCTCTTGTACATTAGTTAGGTGCAAATGATCGACGCTGGCATTTGCAGACAGCGGCAATGGATCGAAGCCGATCAACAAACTTTTATACTGGAATAACTATATGCACATAGTCTGCACTACGCAATTACAGAAATTATGGGAAATAATTATAATCCAAACCTGATTATCCGACATACCACTGTTTAATGAATGTAAAAACTATGCTGACTAGTCTTCAAAGATGCATAATTCAGATTTCCTTTCTTGAACACTGTTAAAATGAATAAAATGAAGGATCCACCTATACACTGATTTTTGTAAATCTGAACAGAAACAGCCAGATTTTAAAACTTTAAAGTCAATTATGAAATGCAGTTTCGCAGACTCAGAAACCAGCTAATCATCACATACGAGATCTAAAATTTTTCACAAGTATGGTAGCATATTTGAGGATTCACCCCACATTTTACTCTTGTATTTTAGTATCACAAAATTATTCTGTACCTAGCTAATGAGCAAAATATCTATTCTTTCCTTCATAAGTTTCCAACCATTCAATGTTGATCACACAAAAGAATTTTTAACAGAAAATTTCCGACTGCATGAAAATTAAACAGAATATGCGAGACCATGATTTTTGTCTTATATATAGTATATATATACGTATATGAGGGAGAACAATAAATATGTTGCAGAATTTTAAACAATAAATATGTCACAAAATTTAATGATTATCACAGCTATAACCAATAAGCATCCTTCATTTTGTGATGGAATATTTTGCACACCATACATTATACCAAATAAAATCCTGAAAACTGTGCTTCTTGAAAGTTGACAGAATAACCACAGCAAAAAATTTTAGGACTACAACCTTTTACATAATTTAGAAAATCATGATACTGAATTATAAAATTTTATTCTGTGTACCTTACTGTTCTTTTCCAGGTAAACAGTTCAGGCAAAGAATGTCTATGTAGAGAAGGAAAGGTTGCAGAGAAGTAACGTAAACCAGTTTGCTATTACGGCGCTGGAAGGTGGATTGAAAATTCACCAGGAGATTTGACGCCGGAACCTCACGGCAAGAATTTCCCCGTCCACGATGTGTACAGGAAATTGAGAAACATGTGTTTAAGAAGAAATGTTCTTTGATTTTTGAGATAATTTAAACTCGGATTTTCATAATTTTTTTGCTTAAAATAACTAATCCATTAATTACTTGCACAAAAACATTTTCCTTTAAAGTTTAAAGAAATTTAAAACGATATTCGTTTTATGAACTCTTGATAAACTTGACCTTCGACGCCGGTTCTGAGCTTTGGCAACAGATATTTCGCACATGCTCAGCTCTTTCCCTCTATGTTTGAACAGAGCCACCTTGTTGCAGAGAAGTTTTGCTTCTTAACAATACATAATCTTTGGTTTAGGTTTGTTTACTATAACTAAAATGGCTTAGCTGAGTAGGTCACATGGTACAGTATCCGAAATGTAGTCTCATACTGTTTGTAATAAGTGAAGTTGATAACAATTATGGCTAGCATTGAGGGTGATAAATTGGACTGCAATACACTACAGATTCAGAGAAAAACAGTCCGTCAAGTCAGATACTTTCGATGAGTTAGTAAGATGTTGAATACATGCTGAGGAAACCAGGTGCAAAAACTGTGCTAGCCTAGTAGTGACGTCAGAAGCAGAAGTCTCTGATAGTCTAAAAAAATAGTTAACAAAAAATTCCTTTGGCCTGACAGAATTAGGTGTCATATTAAATTTAGAAAAGGTAGTAACTATTAAAACAAGCAAATTACTAAATAAGGAGAAAGTTAAAAACAGAGCACAAAGTGGACTATTTCAGCAACAAAAATTAATTAATCTAAGTGAAGGAGTACTGTTCCAGGCCTTTTTTTTATTCACACTATTATGAAGTTATAATCCAATTTTGGTATACTTTCGTTGTTTACATTTTCAACATAACTGAAAAAAATTTTTAGCGACTTCTGCCAACATTTAAATTTTATATTTGCCGTGGATTGCACCATTTCTTATAAGCCATTTACTACCTGTTTGTCTCGGTGTTGTGCTTTGAAGCACTTGTATTTTATTAAGGTTGGTTTTACACGCTTAACCTCATACAGGACAAGTGCAAGTGATTATAGGTTGCAAAATAACTTGGAATAATTTCACTTTAGTAGACCAGAACATGAAAGCAATACATGTTCCGTGGAGGTTCCCTGTGAGATTATGATCAAGAATAAGCACTAAGTATAAAACCCACCTGGCTGAGGAGATGGCAGTATTATACAAGATAGCAGACATGTTTAAATCCAGATTTCTTTTCCTGGTGAAGCAAACTGCTTCAGACTTGTCTATATTCACAGTTATTTTCTATTTTTTATGTCAGGACTACAGTGAGTGGATATGTTGTTGTACTGCTTGGATGACTGAACTCAGGGATGCGTTTTGAGTTACGATCGCCATGTCATCAGCATATATGTCTAATGTAGTGTGGTATGTCATTCGCATAAATCAAAAATATTATATAGCTGATCAAAATTACTTGGGGTGTTATCCCAAGAATTTGACAGCGTGTGGAGTAGTAATTATTACAGCAAACAACAAAAAATCTATCTTTAAGATAGGAATTAATTATGTATCCTGAAAATGCCAAGGTGATTAGTTTGTAGAGTAATGTTCCTGGCTATACACGATCAAAAACATTAGAAATATCAAGGAATAGAGCGGCAACGATTTGCTGATTCTGGAGCCCTTCGGGAGATGAGTTCTGTTACGATATAAAGCTGATGACAAGTGGAATGTTTTTTTCTGAATCATGTTGCTATG